TTCCCCGACGGCGTGTAATATACATATTCAAACCCAAGTTTATATTTCTGACTATAGAATTTTGGAAGTTGAAATGGATCTTGCTGGAAGTATAGCCCCGGAAGATATGGATGAGACAGAGGGACCAGCGAAAGAACCCGAAGGCCCTCTTGACGCTAGGCCGGAGTTTAAGATTCGGTTAAAGAAGCCAAGCGGTAGTTCAGTTTTATTCCACTGCAGCTTCCCGTCAAAGTTCACTGAAGACGTAAGCCCTGGAGGTGAGGAGCAAACAAGACTGCGTAGGTTTTTTGCTATTTAATAATGTGAAGCAGCTACCTTTTCGGTGGATATGGTCGAAATGGAGCGTCTTCCGGGGTACTTCGTCTATACTGACCTGTTTGATGACGTAAGTGTTTACTTTGCCCTTTGCTGACATTAAGCCGTGTCGCAGGTAACTTTGACCTGATATTTTTACTTCCATACAGAATTTGTATGAACACACCGTGCGTCTCTTGACCGACCGAGGAATCGACAGCGACTTCCAGCGCCAGCTTCAAGACTTCGCAACATCCGAGGAACATAAACTTTACACACGATTCCTAAAAGAGTTTAAGTCATACTGCAAAGAATAAGCGGTAGCTTCTTATCAGTGTCAATCAATTTGCTACATACATAAAATATACATCATTTCACTTTTAATCGTTTTTCTTAGTCTATTCTCAACTTTGCGTCTATTGACACGTGTATGGAGTTAAGTTGTGTTTTTAATTTCGATCCAGCTGAATGCCTCTCAAAGCAATCGACCAAAAAACGGGTTCGATCCTGACCGGTTATGCGGTCTTGCGCCTCGTTCCCATCGTGATATTTCGGCCATCTGGAGCAACGGTGTACAATGCCACTGATTTGCGCGATAGTTAGCTTTCGGCTGAACAGATTTGAATAGCATTACTGTGCTAATCTCACAGTTACCTGATCCCGATAGCAAGACAACCAGAGGTCGTTTCGGACACATGCCTGAAAGTTAAACAGACCGCATAAGCGTTTCACTACGACCTAGTTCACGCAGCTACTTTCATCTAATTACCAAATGCCATGAAAACCACACCACAGTGTGCTGGAAGGGCTCATTTTATATCGTCAGTTGGCGGCCTTAAACTTCGGGTATACAGATGCGTCATGTTCGACGAAAAGAATTTTCGTTTAGCATAGCTACGAATGTGCGCTG